AGGACAAGATGTGTATCTGTTACTGAGTTTATCTCCAGGTAACTGACTGATAGGTGGAACACAAGAACCCTTTTGTACGTCAGCACCAACAGCACTGGAACTGTGCCATAGCTGTCAGCTGCACCTTGTACAGCTTTTTATTGCAACACAGCTTCCAGTCTCAGACTGTTGATTTCAATAAAAATACTCCAAACATCTTTAAGATTAGGATTAAAGCTCTGCTAATCAGATTAGGAGGCGTGTAATTAAGTATCAGCTCTTACTAAGACAGAAGATTGAAGACCCCTTCTCAAGCATTGATAGGATAAGGAGCTAGAAAACTTTTTTTTAAATGTATTTGGTGGAAGGGAGTAAAAGGATGAGGTTGAGGGATTATACAATATCACACTGAATTATAGGAAAGAAACTCAGGCACATGCCATTAAAATCAAACAAAGGATTATGCTAAGGGAAATAGCAAACTCTTTTTCCAGGCCTCTCAAATAGCAAAAATACTCAGGACTGCATTTAGGATGCACACGAAATACTTGCTCTCCTTGCAAATGATGCCCTTTGGGTGAGAACCGCAGCATATTGGCAAGACAAGAAAAAGCTCATACTGTGTGTACCAGTGTATGATGTTACTCTCCCATGAATGAGAGGGCTTGGTCTGCACAGCTATCAATTTGGCAGACACCTCACACAGCAAGCCCTGCTGTACTGTCTGCAGAAGAGGATCTTTTCTATTACTTTCAATAGCTACCAGGCCCAATTCTTGCAAACTAAACCCAGGAATCAGTACAGTCTCTGAAGTAGCTTTCACCTCTGACTTCATCTTGCTCTGTGTCAGGGGTTCTCAAACTATGGTATACAAACCCTTTCGAAGTGCTGTGCCTGTACTGTGCTGCAGCTGTGGTAGCTGGAATTGAACCGCGATTCATTTAACAGCACAAAGTGAAAAGCATTAAGTGCTCAGGCACCTTGGTGAGGCTGAGCATCCCTGCAAGAGATGTCCTAGAAAGAGCAAGATGTAGTGCGAATCAGGGTTGGGATAGGTCCCAACTCTGTGCTATGCCCAAGCACAGAGCTTAGGATGAAGAAGTTCAGACAGAGCTTCCCTTTCCTCTGCTCATCTGTACAGCTGCTGCCACTGCTGACAATGGTACCTGTCGCTGTTGGGAATGACAAAATCTGGTCAAAGAAAGTTTGGTCAGTATTAGTTATGACCAGCGATACAAAATGAGGCAGCAGGGAGAAGTAGAAAATGAACAGCGAGTCTTAGTGAATTTCCTCTGAGCAGCTTTCATCTCATATATCACACCTTAATGCAGCGTTTAAAATTTTATTTAAGTCAGTAATAGAAAAAATTAAATTATGCATTATTAATAAAGTAACTTACAGAGAGGCTAAAGCCTTCCAAGAAGGTGAACACAGTTTTCAGAGGCTCTATTGCAGAAGTTGAGATGGTGGTGCTACCCACGGAGGAAAGTATTTGGGACCCTTTCTAAAACCTCTCAGAAGTGTTTCTGGACACTATCAGCTGCAAAGGATTCACTGCTGGGATGGCAACTGTCAAAGCTGGTGAGAGAATAAAACTGGGGATAAAGCTGGCTTTGCTGTTCAGGACTGGTTAGTGAGCACTCCTCAGTCACAGCGCATGTTATGCATAGATGTGGCTTATATGGTACCATTTAGGTGAAATGGAGTTCTGTGGGATTCAGCAGTCTAAAGACAATTAGGCATCTTAAAAACTAATTGTCACACAAAGCACCTTGCTCCACAGCAAAGACATGGAAAACAGAAAATCAAGCCCCAGCTGTCAGGAAGACCGTTAGTAGACGGGAAAAGCTCCACAAGTCGCTACGTCGCTGTTAACAGATATGTGTGAGCTTAAAACCATGTATGTGTGATATCCAATACGTGCAAGGTTAAACATCGAACTGGATACTAATCAGTCTCCATTTTTAGAGACCTCAAGCCCACAGAAACAGTAAAAAGAAAAAACACAAACCAGGTTTCACAAAGCTCTGTAGTGAGAAATGGTATGGACTCGGGAGACCTGATCTGCTGCCCGGCCTTGCCACTAGCTTGTAGACGCTTTCAGCATCCACCCCGCTCATCCCCACCCCAACTTCCCCCTCTGGGGCATGGACAGAGCCACGTTCCTCTGCTTTGCAAAGACCTGCAGGGTCTTCCCACTGAGGGGCTAGTGCTGCTCTAACAGTCAAGCTTCTGCTTTAAAAAGCATGACTTCTGTTCCCATTTAAATAGCTCGTTCACATGCTCGCACACGTTGCTTTCACTACAAAGTAATACATGAAGCAGATTCCTTCCTATAGCACAGCTACCTGGACATATAGATGTTTTTTCAATTATTACTATTATCTATAGGGTGAAGGAAGAAGTATTGGCAAATACTGAAAGGATCCATAGTAAGGTTTGTATCAGTATAACCACGCACATGTAATTATAATAGCCACGGAGGGCTAGAATAGTTCCACCAGCACAAAAACCGTGCTCAGACAAGTGTAAGCCTTGGTCATATAATCCAAAGCAAATGAAGTACTGGAATTTATGTTACTGTACGTCAGCTGGGTACCATGATAATTCATAGCCTTTTACATATACTTACTTAATATGAGTGCTTAGTTTCTTCAAGCTAATTTTACTTCTCAGTTCAGATGGATTAAAAAGAGCATGAACACAGTTGCAAGCAGAAATTTGCAAAGCTGTGGTAATTTAGTAATTGCAAGTCATAAAGCAATATCCCACTTTTCTTAGCCTGTCAGAGCTGGGGTGAAGTGACAGTAGTGCAAAAGAAAAAAGATTGCTTTTGCAGACTTCCTGGGGTAGGGACAGGGCCTTTCAGTGGGGTATACCAGGTCGAACAAAACCAAGCCTCCTCCCTTACTGCAGTAATAAATAATTACTGAACCAAAACAGATAAGGGCAATTACCAATGATCTTGAGAAAGATTATTTTAATACGGAACAGAGCACTGTTAAAGCAATTAAACTGCTTGTAAAAAACCCCAAAACTCAGCAGGATTTTAACACGTGTAGGTAGGCAAATCTATCAACACTACTGCTGTGTTTTCAGCAAGGCACAGCTTATAGCATGGTTCCATGGTGCTGCCTTTCCTGCCGTGCTTTGCTACTCCTTCTTTCCATAGAACTGTACGTGCTGTAGCAGTGGGAGGAAGCGATCCCTGCCTACCGTAGTGATAGTTTATGCAGCCCTTTTGTTTGCTGTTACGGAAGTCCCTTCACACCCTGCCACACACACGAAGGGGAAGTCTGCCTCAAATGCAGAAATGTTTCCTTTCAGACAGGAATGGAGGCGAAGAACGGAAGTGTGTGACAGAGGTCTGGGAGGGAAACTTCTCTGCAAATCACGACATGAGAAATATAAAAATAATTTCAAAGTGGCAAACCCATAATCCAATTCACAACACTTACCCTGGTATCAACATTCTAAAAAAAGACATTACAGAATCTGAATGCAACAAAGTAATAAAAATACAGCTTGTTTTTGTGCTAGCAAGGCCTTAACTCACTTATTCAGATTAGAAGCATCTGGTATTGAACTGAATTTCCTTTACTATGTGAGATATGTTTCCTCTCATATGAGCTACATCATGGAAATATTTGTGAACATTTTGCAGTATATATTGTGTGAAGCTTCCATTCTTTTTCTTTCAAAATATTGCATATTTGGGTGGGATAACAAGAGATAATACCCAGACCTGCATGTAAAATATTCACTCCAGTTGAGTCTCCGCAGCATTCAGGACTTCCCAAACACAGGGACCAAAAAGGATGCTCTGTTTCTTCTCTTCTCTTTGCACCTATTTCTGGAAGGGGCATCTTGCTGAGGGTTAACTAGTACTCAAACATGGGTAAATTGATACGCAAAGGAGCACCCAAAGTGTCCAGACATTTCCAAAGAGGTGGCAACAGAAGTGATTTCTTCTCAGGTGGATTTGCTACCCACGTTCAGCTCATACGGAGAGACACAGGTTCTATAGGTGGTTTTACATTATCAGCATCTTTCTAATTAAATTTCAATAGCTTTAAAAGGCTATTACTGCTTATAAGATTCACTTCCAAACCCTGGAACTTTGCTCTTCTTAACTGTCTTCTCTCTCATACTTCTTTAGAGAATTACACTACTAATGATGGGATTAATATTAAGCCATTTCATTATAAATGGGTTGGATGTGCTGCTAATATCTTGACTTAATCTGCACTTGGCAAGCACATCTCTGCCCTTGTCCTTCTTTCCAAAAGAAATTTAGAATGACAGATTTGTTAGATGTCATAAATAACATGTCTGTGAGGTTAACCTGTGAGATAGGACTGGCTACCTTTTATAAGAAGGGGAAACTAAGCATACTTTTCCAAGAAGCACAGAAATTAGACAAAGCTACAGGGTTTTTTGTTTGCTTGGTTTTTCCCCACTTTCTAGTAACTGTAACAGCTGCTTTAATCCTGAGGGCTCGGCTCTGTTTTTTTGTCAGGTGCAGTATGGACAGTAAAAGTGCAAATGCTCACACGTTTCCCTTTGAGCTTGTCAAGTCTAGTGAGTTCGCTTTTGAGAAGGCCTTAGTCTCCTGGCCACTGTTCAGGCTGGGACTCCACTGACCCTGGCAACGCTGCTGAGCGTGCTAGCAGTCGGTCACCTGCATCTTTCCCAGAGCCAGTCACCTTCCAGACTTCCACTGCACATGCAGCAGAGCTCAGCCTGAACAAAATCATGTTTTGCTTTCTGTAAAAGGGTTAGGGAATTGGGCAGCACTAAAAGGAGGGGAAAAAAAAAGACTTCCTGAATCATCTTCCCCTTTGCAACACAGCCAGCTAAATGCAGTCTCCAGCCTTCTACTTGGCATGGAGGCATCTGCCGTTGGATCCTGCTTTATGTGAGAGCAGATGGAGACGTCGAAGGGATAAGAAGTGCTCCTTCCAAGGAAGAAACTCACCCTCTGAGGGGAGGTCGGGGACAGGATGATTACCATGACTCACCTTTTGATAATGGTACAAAAGTAGTGTTTGGGGAGTCATTATTATCAACCATGTTATTGGCCACATAAATCAACAAGACTTCCTAGAACAGTTAAGGACCTGACCTATTGCAGCAGGTATTGCACTGTCTGAACAGTGGCATGGGAAATAAGGGACATTACTTCAGGCTTCTGCTTAGCTTTGAAGTGAACTATTACAGACAAGGGGAAAAAAAGAGAAGAAAAGAAAAAAAGATTGATTTTCCTTTTGGCAAATATTTGGCTACGAGGATCTGCTCATCTGTCATTTGTCTTGCCTTGAGAATTGGCCTTTGCAGAATGAAACAAACAAACACTGCTACACTGTATGGCATTTTGTATTGACATAAAAGCCTCGCTGAGGATAACAGACATTTATAGAGCAATTCATATGACTTTAAAATTACCCACCTTTGCCTTCGCTTAGCATTGTTTAATCTAATAGTTTGCATTTGTTATTTGAAATGTACGCAGAGTAGATTGTGTTGCTGATAGCTACGTGAAAAGCCTGCTGTCTGTTAAGAAGACTTATCATTTGTGTGCGTACTAATGTCCTCTCCTGAGAGCAGGATTTCATGTGGACAATTACAGGCAGACTATGTTCCCCACCTATTCCTTAGAGGGGGCAGAGACTGGCTGCACCAGCACAGATTCCCCAGAAGACCCGTATAATTCCCCAGAAGACCCATATACGCGATAGTATGGTCTTCCACTGTATGGGGTGGATTGGAAATAGAAAATATAAACAGCTATACTTGCTCTGATTATGCTCAGCTTGCTCCTGTTCCCTTGAGGGTCATTGTCAATTGCCAAAGGTTGGCATAATGCTGCAGCTTCTGTAAAGCTGCTGTGTGGACAAGCAAAATGCAGGGACATGAAGGCAGCTCACTCATACCGAACTCCCTGACAGCTCATCCTTCACATTTCCTACCACCCACTCACACATAACACTCCCTGCTTTGTGAGCACACAAAGCATGTGTGAAACAGGGAATTGGGCTTTAATTGCCATAAGTCTTATCCTGTGGGTACTTTCTGGGAGATAACAACTTCACAGCCAACTCCTTGATGCACAGCTAGGACTTGGTCACCGCAAAGAGTGAGAAAATTTCCTGTATCTGTTGGAATAATTTAATTCTTGGTGAATCTTCAGTTAAAGTCCATTATCCTTCAGGAAGAGTGAATTTGGATCATTAATGTCCACATTCTGATCTTCACCATCCCCGTCTTGCTTTGCTTTAGCATCACAAAACAAATATGTGGATAATTTAATTGTCTAGCTGACAACGCACAGGAGAAAGCTCCAGGGACAGACAGTTATTTATGCCTGAATGTAAGGCTCACATTCATATTTATGTAGCTGGATAAGCATTCTGACTATCAGGGTTATTATCACATCAAGATTTTTAAAGGCAGCTGATCCAAACAGCTTCTACAGAGATGCCACTCAATCCCAGCTCTTTTGTCTTCTTCTGGGGCCCAGGAAGCATATACAACGTATACCTTTGTGTAAGCTAAATCTTAGAAGCTTTGTTTGATACTGAAGCAACATGTTTTACTGACAACCAGTGAAAAGCGTAAGATTCTGTGCTGGTTTTGGCTGGAGCAGAGTTAATTTTCTTCCTAGTAGCTAGTATGGGGCTATGTTTTGGATTTATGCTGGAAACAGTGTTGATAACACAGGGATGTTTTCGTTACTGCTGAGCAGTGCTGACACAGAGTCAAGGCCTTTTCTGCTTCTCACACCACCCTACTCTCACCAGTGAGTAGGCTGGGGGTGCACAAGAAGTTGGGAGGGGACACAGCCGGGACAGCTGACCCCAACTGACCAAAGGATATTCCACACCATATGACGTCATGCTCAGCATATAAAGCTGGGGGAAGAAGAAGGAAGGGGGGGACGTTTGGAGTGATGGCGTTTGTCTTCCCAAGTAACCGTTAGGCGTGATGGAGCCCTGCTTTCCTGGGGGTGGCTGAACACCTGCCTGCCGATGGGAAGCAGTGAATGAATTCCTGGTTTTGCTTTGCTTGTGTGCGCGGCTTTTGCTTTCCCTATTAAACTGTCTTTATCTCAACCCATGAGTTTTCTCTCTTTTACTCTTCTGATTCTCTCCCCCATCCCACTGGGGGGGGAGTGAGCGAGCAGCTGCGGGGTGCTTAGTTGCTGGCTGGGGTTAAACCACGACAGATTCAGAAAGCATATTACTATTTTCACACAAGTTCTAGGCTTTTTTTTCCAAGCAGTATTAACTTTTGAAGCACATTAAAAAACAGTGCAAAGCTGGGAATACCCCAATAATCAAAGCTCTCGTGACCATACTCAATAATTCTATTAAAGCTACATCTGAGTGTTACCTGAAATAGTATCTTCAGTGATGTTAGAGAAGACAAACAGGGACTTTGACTGAATACCAGTGTAGCACAGTAAAATCTGCTTTTCAGTTGCCTTGTCATCACCCAACACCATGGGAACAGGCCAATTCTTCAGGGATCCTCGCTACAACTGTGACACAACACTGTTGTTGCTACAACCAAAACTGTACTTTAGCCCGGGCCCCCTGCTGATGGGGTCACTGTAACACATCAACTATGACTTGAGCTTTAAGTACACATACAGAACTCACTCTGTCCTCAGAGGAAGCAGCCGGCAGCAGAGACATCCCTGACCCCCAGGATCACAGTCCCACAACGGCTCCAATCCAAGTCCCACCCAGGACTCGCTGCCACGCGTGTTTACGGGCAGCACGCCACGTGTGTCCCTGTTCCGCAACGTGGGTCATTTTGATTATCCCGGGTGCCCGGGACCCCTTTAAAGGCGAAGTGGGTACGTGACCAGCTCACACCCAGCAAATGGCTGCCTGTCCCACAAGGTGGCACATCAGGGGCTAGGCGCAGGGGGCCCGGGTCACACTTGTGTAATGTACTTCAAGGTTTCAAAGAGAAGACTTTGTATCGTGGTGTGAGCACAAGCTCAGGCTTATGGTTAGGTTTTGGTGAACACTGTACGTGTACTTGCTGGCAGATACATTTACTGTGTGACTTAGTGGTGATGTCTGCTCTCAATGGGGAGGTGAAAACATGACCCAGCAATGCTATACTGAAAATGGAAACAATTTTTTGGCTTCAGATAGCCCTTTTCAGTAAAGACAGAACAGTTGTTTCAGTAAATAATGCCAGATATTCTTAAAAGAGCTGTTTTCTAGATTTTTGGTAGTAAAAATAGCTCTAACGCTACTTGAAAAGTAGTTTAGGTTTTTCTCCTTAGGGTGTGGGGGCAAAGCAATATGCAATACCGCAGAGCCAAAGAGAAGTTTGTTTTGGGTGATGTTAAATGGACTCCACTCTATGAAAACACTAGCGCTAACAGAGGTACAAAAACTAGACCAGCTTTTGTGCCCAAAAGCTCTTCCTAAATTCAGAGGTGGAAGTAACAGCCTCTAAAGCTAAATGCAACTGAATACAAATGCAAGTTAGCAGACTTCTGTGTGCTAGACTGGGCATGTTAATTGTTTAGACATTCTGAAAGAAAAGGTAGTTGGTACCTGTGAAATGACATTAAGAAGGGCTGAAGTGTTAAGCTGGGTAAGGCTGCCGGGACAGGGAAGCATCGCAGCTCCACCAGCAATGAGACTGCTAATGGCAATTCATTGCTCACCTGAGCCAGGCTTCAAGCAGCGGTTCTTCCCTTTCTGTGTTGCAATGCTGTGGATGCCAGAGATTCAAGGATTAGGATATGTGACATTTTCACAGCATGAGCCTCAAGCCAGCAGGCTCTTAAATCACCAAGTGTCCAAACAGTTTTCATTGTGCTTTCATCCATTCCCCGCTAAGTAAGATCAGCAGGGGAAAAAACTGCCTCCATATATGAAACGAGAATAGCACAACACCTGCTGGGTCGGAAACTGTATTCATGAGCTACGTAAATGAGTTGACAACAGGAGGACGTTGTAACTGGTCCTGCAGCATAAACTCTGCTGCAGCTAACACAGCTTTCCTAAGATATATGGGTTTCATGAACTAAAACCTGGCTATTACAGAAGGAAGCAGTGTGTGTTGTTCAGAAAGCCTACAAAACACAGGAAAATGAGCCTCATCTCAGGGAAAACAAATAAAAAAGATGAAAGCAACAATTCCAGAGTATCAAGAAGGCCTAAGAGGCTTGCAGATGCCCATCCACAGAAGCTATAAAAAGTGTCCAAACCTACGAAGATCAGCCAGTACCAGCCTTTCCCAGCCACATGCACATTGCTTCACAGGTCCAGTAACATATTTTTACCCACAGTGTTAAGTATGGTATTTGTTACTGGGAGGAGACACTGCAGAGTCAGGTGTGCTGAGCAGTGTCTCCACCAGCACCTCCTGGGAGTTCCTCTTCACGGTGCATGGCTGCACTGGGCTGAGGTGCCTAAGCTAGCTCTCAGTCAGAAGCAACAGAGCCACATTAACATAATACCCCTTTTCAGCCAGGCTAATGAACCTGGGCAAGGTACCACCTTAATTCAGCTTCCAGCACAAAGGTTGGATTTGTCTCTGCCTGACACTCTATGCTGTGAAGACATGCCCCGAGACCTCAGAGCTGACCCTGAGCAGGAGGTTGGCCAGAGACCTCCCGAAGTCCTTTGCAACTTGAATTATCTTATGATACTGTGAAACAACCCATTCTGAAATCAGGTAATGAAAATGTAAAATTACTTGCTACCAGTAAAAACCATGTGCCCGATTTCTGCTATTTTTTTCCTCTGAAGAGAACACTTCTTCTCACAGGCACAGGGCAAACTAAAGCCTTTTTATCTAGAAGTCAGATTTTGTAATATACTGTAAACAAGTTGCCTCCATGGGGAATTAATGTCATTTCGGTGGGTTACTGAAGTAAATAAATGCTTATCCAATGGAAGTGAGCATGTTTGTGACCAGTAGTTTCAAAATGACTAGGAGAAAAAGATCTAGTCATGGATCATATCAGCCAGTGACTAGATACAAGCTATGTATCAACAAAATGGTAAAGGATTTTCACCGCCAGAAGTAATTTCTGGTTC